ATATACATATACATATACATATACATATACATATACATATACATATATATATATACACACACACACACGCCCCCCCCACACACACACACATCATATATATATGTTCCTGCTGTTAGGAGCCCACAAAACCACCAAGCTAACAGCCATAACATATATACAGAGGACCTGGTACAGAGGGGGCATGGATCTTGGGGGGAGGGACAGAAAGGAGAAAGTAGGTAGAGTGGAGGGGAGGCGAGACTGTGATTGGGATGTATTGTATGAGAGAAGAATCTATTTCCAATGCTTAAAAATGTCAGAATGTAAATTTAATATTTAATGAAAAGGATTTCTGATTTTCTTAATAGAACTCTTTTTTTTGTTTATTTGTTTGTTTGTTTCTTAAGACAGGGTTTCTCTGTGTTTATCCCTAACTGTCCTGGAACTCACTCTGTAGTCCAGGCTGGACTCAAACTCACAGAGAACAACTTATCTCTGCTCCCAAGTGCTGAGGTTAAAGGTGTGCACCACGACTGCACAGCCCTAATACAACACTTAAACTGATTTCACATCTGAGAGAAAAGGCAGACAAATGTCCTAATGGAGGGTATTTTAAATGATGATGTAACCTGACCATAGCCATCATAAATTTAAATTTTACTAGATTCTTCTTTAAATCAGAAAATGTACAGCTACCTAAAATGCAGTTCTTTTGAATCAAAATATTGTTCTACAGAATGCGTTCTGTGTTTTCTTTAATTATATCTTTTGAAAGTCTATTATCATGTTAGGATTATCAGCTTCAATAAAAAGAATTTATCATCTCTAAAAAAAAGAAAAAAGGCATAAACAATATAATTCTATCTCTGTTCACATATACAAATGAAATTGTGCTCATCAAATGTTGATTATTAATATTTTGGGTTATTACATAACTTATTTTCTACTAAATAATATATAGTCATTAATATTTTAGCAAAGACTCAGCATGCATCATCTCTAAAATATACTAAAGGCATCTCTAAATCATTTAGTTGTCTAAAATAAACATGGCTATAAAAAACATGAATTAGAAAGTGTTAAATTAATCACCGAAGACTCTAAGGAGTTGATTCTTCATTTCTGAAGCAAGATGAAAACTGGCAAGCTAACTTAAAAGAATAAAAAGAACATTCCATTCTGACACCACAAGAAGGGCAAGCACTAGGAGATTAAACAGAATTGCATTCGTTCATTTGAATGGCAGTTAAAGTTGTGTATTATTAATAATGTACTAAAGTAAATAGGAGACACACACAATCAAAGGAAATACAATTACACCCTTAAAGTGAGGAATATGGCCATGGGGGCCTAAAATAAAGTAATTCATTAGATGTATTCCCCAAGGAAGTATAAACACTACATTCAGAGAGTCATTTCAGAAGAAAGGATTTGTTAAGTGTGTGATAATCACACAAGTTGTGCCCAGTAAGGCAGTGTGGAAGAGACAGGAGCATTTAGGAGACACCACAATAACCAAGCATGGGGCAAGAGGGGATCAAAGGACAGAGGGACGACTGCACAAGGTGCGTCTACCAATGGCTTTGCTCAACAGTGATTTATGCTTTGTTAGTTTCTAATTCTCGTCCCATTGTCATAGCTAATGCAATTCCCTGCATTAAAGCTAAAGTCATGCATGTGACTATGCCAACACTTTCTTATTCAGAGAGTAAAAATACCATCTCTCTATCTTCCTCCCTGCCAGCCCACCTTTCTCAGGCCCAGATCCTATGAAAACCTACAATATCATACTGCGGGGGATTGACATGATAGAATTTCCAAAGAAGATTGCAAAAAATGCTGCTAACTTAATTAAAAAACTATGCAGGTAAGTGTTCGGAGTGCATTGTTTTTAAGGAATCACAAAGAGAAAATATTTGACTTTTTTTCACACGACTGTTATCTTATTTTTAGAGACAACCCATCAGAAAGGTTAGGCAATTTGAAAAATGGAGTCAAAGACATTCAAAAACACAAGTAAGTATTCTTTTTTATATATAACTTTAGATTTCAGAATTCAGAAATCATGGTGAATTCCCCAAGATGGAAGTTTTTACTGATTGGCTAGAACATTCAGAGAGAAAGGTTTTAAAAACCTTTCTATGTGTATTTGGAAATTTGCTCATTAATATCCAGCAACTCACTGACTTAGTTTCTCTCAATTAACACTACCTAGTAGTTATGTTTTACCCCTTTGGCACAAAGAAAAATATATCCTTTTTATTCTTTGTTGCATTAAAAATCAAAATTGCTCACTAAAACATTTATTTTTTAAGTAAAGGTAACATGTATACATGTATATATTATATAGAGATAGATAGATAGATAGATAGATAGATAGATAGATAGATAGATAGATAGATAGATAGAAATTTTTGAGCATCAGTGGTTCTGGGATGCAGGAGTTAGGGACACAGCTCTTCATCTCACTTACAGTAGCTGGATCTTTTCTTTAGGATATCTCTACTCAAGTGAAAATGGGATTCTTGACTTTGCTGAGGAGAGTCCTATGGTTCAGATCAGACAAAGGTGAAACAAAGTTGAACTTATTAGAAATAGATTTCTATCATAAGCACAGGGGTGGATACAAAAAGAGCGCTCAAAAAGAATAAGATATACCCAAGTATGGGCGTGGCCTTCTCAAGACATGTGGGTGTTTTAACAGTAGCCACCTGTTCAGTTTGGGTGGCTGTCAGCTTATATCTTCAAGGATTGCTAGGAAACTTGTTTTTGCAAAAGAAATACCTTGGTTAGAACAGAAATCTGATAAATCAGAAAGCTGAGTTGCTAGGGTGGCCACGAGATTGAAGATATCGGTTACTACACATGTGCTTTCTAGTGAGACCCTTAGATAACTGTAGGTTTACAACAAGGATTTAACTGTAGGTTTACAACAAGGAATGAAGCCGATTACTTGCAGTTTTAACAACTGTATAAAAGGAGCTTTGTCTCTGTGTAGGTGATCTTCACAACAAATGGTTAATTTGGATGTGGCTCTTGACTCTGATCTAGCAGGGGACTTTGACAAGACTCCATAGTGAAACATTACTTCTCGTGTCTTATTAATTTTCTCTTTCCATTTTGTGTCAGTTTCCCCTTGTGAGACTGTGATCCCTTAGTCTTAATGGTGCATGATGTTCATTCAAAGAGATATATTCTAAAACTTCTTCACTGCTAAACAGAGATGCAGACATTAAACATCCAGCTAGCGAAAGCCTCAAACTGTGATAAGGATGAGATAAGAATCTGAGTTTGGATGTTGGAGGTGCATCATCCCATGAAAATTATAAGAGATAGCATGATTACTTGGGACATCAAATGATATAAATGAGAAAGTATAACATAGATTGTTATATTTAATATTAGCAACAGAACAACAGTGCCTCTTTATGCATGAGATAACTGACAACCATGGTGCCAGTAAATGACTAAATCTTAAGTCAGAATCTGACCTAGAGTGGACACAACACAAAACCTGATGTGTCAAATACAGATGCACTCCACTCAAAAAATGAATGGCACAGGTTCTCAGAATACCAAGGGTCCTTGTCCTTATCTTCTGTTTAAAAACCTTAAGTCTCTGAGAATTCCATATACATACACAATGACATATAATCATTGATCATATCTACCCTCTATTTTCCCCTCCAACTCCTCATGGATCCCTTTTGACTTTCAAAGTAAGAGCCTTTGGGTTGACATAAAAACTTACCAGTTGTTGTATATTGAGAATGTGACAAAACATAAAAGAACAATTCCAAGAAGGAATCCAGTGGTAGAACAAACATATTTTAAAAACAAAACATAGCAAAAGCATACTGAGATTGTGACCACTGAGTATACTTGCTAATTATGCCTAAAAAATAGCGACACAAAGCCAAACATGTAAGTGGGACTTGTCTTTGCACTGAGGAAGTTTCGATATGCTGGAGAGATGGCTCAACAGTTAAGGAAGTTGTGATATTAAGATGCCTTATTTGTTTATTCTTTTTTTTAATTTATTTTATTGGATGTTTTATTTACATTTCACATGTTGTCCCCTTACCCCACCCCCCACCCACCCAGGAACCCCCAATCCCCTCACCCCTCCTCCTTCTTCTCTGTAGATGTAACCTCTATCTACCCCCCTACTCCCACCTCCCCACCCTCAAAATTCCCACCCCCTGGGGCATCCAGCCTTCACGAGGTCAAGGTTCTAATGATAGTAAAGCTTTTCAGAATTTACAGATTTATCACTGAAACTAGGGAATCTCAAGAGGAACAATTTTATTGTACAATATACCATGTGAGGTCTCTCAGTCTGTGCAATTGGATCTCTCTCCACCCTGAGATTGTCAGCACATGTGGGAGATACTTGTATTCCTGACAGGGAAGCATTTGGGTAAGATCTCATTGGCAATCCCCTTCTCAGAACTTGATGACCCTTGGTAATGACTTAGGAAAAGGTGTTTTGTTCTGCCTCCTGGGTAATTATGAAGACAAAGCAGACAGGACATTGTGACTATTTGAATTGTAGACTTTATGATCCTTTAACCTCAAAGACATAAACAGCTAGAACAGTTAATGGTTTTCTTCCCAGGGGGAATGAGTCATGAAGTCCCTGAATGAATTTCTGCTGATCTGTTTGAAACAAGAATTTTATGTTGCCCTGAATCCCCCAGTCATTTTCTGTCAGTCTGTGACCTATGCCTTCTCTGCTTTGGTGTAAGACGGACTTACATTTGGTTCTGGGACAGGTATATCACAGCTGCTTACCCACCAGCATTGCCAGAGCTACTACAGATTGTGAGTGTCTTAGCTATTCACACACGATAGAGTCCTGCTATGAAAGTAAGTTGTGAGTCTGGGGTTGTCCCTTACCTAGCTTTTAAGTGAGGAGTCATAATGTTGTATCTTATTCTGGTACATAGAAGACACAGGGCTTTTCTAAGTTAGTAATTCCCAGGGCTGTTGCTTAGGGTCACCCTTATAAATACCACACAGGTCTACTTAGTAAGTGATCCTAAGTTACTGCCTAAGGCAAAGAACAAACCCTAATGCTGAAAGAAATATTGAAAATTTTGACCAGTCCAGAATTTTCTGGAACACTTCAATGTTGACTGCCAGCTTCTGAGTGGGAAAATTTACTAGGAAACCTTGAGCATCTTCCCTCTTCAAAGGCACCCATCATAGGCCCTGAAAGCCCAGAATTCCCTTGGGAAGGTAGGACTAGTTTAGGCTGCTGTCTGTGGTCTTTAAGTACTTGTAGACATTGTTCCAGGCCCTCTGGTGTTGAAAGTCTCCCGGAAAAGGCAAGTGTTATTCTGATGGGCCTGTTCTCAGGAATGACTTGTTCTTTCTGTCTGATACTTTCTTTGTCCTGTTAATTAAAACATCTACAGCTTTGAATATGTGATTTGTGGGGAGTTTCTTTTCTGGTCCTGCCTATTTGCTGTTCTTTGTACCTCCTGCAATTTAATGAGCATCTCTTCCCTCAGATTTGGGGATTTTCTTCTATGATTTTATTGAAAATCTATTCTGTACCTTTGACCTAGGTTTCTTTATCTATAGCTATAATTTGTATCTTTGGTCTTTTCATAGTGTCTCAGATTTCCTAAATGTTTTGTTCCTGTGTGTATTTGTGCGTGTGTGTGTGTGTGTGTGTGTGTCTGTGTTTAGCTTAACATTTTCTTTGACTAAGTTATCTACTTCCTCTATCTTGTCTTCAAGACCTGATATCTCTTCCACTTGATCCAGTCTGTTGCTGAGACTTTCCTGTGACCTTTTTTTTTTTTTTTTCCTATTTCATTTGAGTGTTACATCATTTTGGCTTCTCTTCAGGGACTCTATCTCTTTTCTAAATTTCAGTTTCGTATCTTGTTTTATTTTCATCACTTCATTCAACTGTTTGTGTTTTCATGCTCCTCAGTTAGGCATTTGCCCACATCCTCTCTGAGTTCCTTCAATGTATTTATAATCACTGTTTTGAAATTATCATCTTGTGTATTAGCCTGGTTACTTTTCTCAGAGACTATTACAATGGGGATGGTGATTTCTGGAGGAGATTTATTGTCTTGGTTATTCGTGTGTGTGTGTGTGTGTGTGTGTGTGTGTGTGTGTGTGTGTGTGTGTTTTCAGTGGGACTTAGGCATCTGTTGGCAATTTTAGGTATACGTATCTCATCTTACCTTTACTGAGTAGTATTTGGATGTCAGTTCGCTGCTACCCCAACTTTCTAGGTTATGGACCAGCTGAATGGTTCTTGGTGTTCAGTCTTGGGGCCTCTCTGTGTCGATATGTAGATGGTGTTTCAGAAGTAGTCCTAGCTCAACAAATGAGAGTACAACTTATGAGTCTCTGAGGCTTGGGAGAATCTCTCTGCCAGTCTTCCGTTGTGGAGCCCTCCCTGGTCTCTATGGGTGCTACTTGGATTGAAGGAGCTGGGATCATAGTGAGAGTAGGAAATGTTCTGCAGGGGTAGGATTTAGGACAGCACAACATCCTCAGGTGGAGGTGGGTGTGGTGGGAGCCAGGCTGGGTATCCTTATCTTATGTTAGGGACATAAGACCTGATGAACTCCAGGTGTCTCGGTGGGTAGGGTGACAGACTGTTTTGGGGAGTTTCTACCTAGAGTTCCAGGTCAAATTCCATACTGTGCTGGAGAAGGGTGATGTATGCAATAAGCATGTACTTGAGAAGTATGGGTTTAGGGGACCTACCTGGAGTTCAGGTCCAACGGTATACTGTGTGGTAGCAGTGTGTGGAAAGGATAACTAGTATGCACGTGGTGAAAAGATGCACTATTGGACCTAGTGGAGTACAAAGTCACACTGACTACAGTTAGTAGGGTGGCTGGTAGGCAGGTGGGGGTGTGGAATGGGTTTAAGGAACACAGCAGAAATTCCAGGTTAGATTCCATATGATGCCAGGATGGAGTGGTGGGGAAGGTGACTGATAGGCAGACACACAGGCAGAATGGGTCAAGAGGAAGCTACATGGACTTATGGGTTATAGTCCACTTAGTGCAGAGGACAAAGAGGCTGGTAGACAGGAGTACACACAGAAAAGGTCTGAGAAGACCTGCCTATTGTCCCCTGCTAGGTCTAGGTAGCTCAGAGTTCATCTGATAGGCAAGTCAATGGAAGGGTTCTTAGCGACCTACCTCGAGTTCCAGATCAGTTTCCACTTAGGAAACTGGGTAGGGTGGCTAATAGGCAAGCAGGTAGGTAGATGGACTAGATCTGAGAATCCTGTCTGGAGCTCTTAGTTATACTCCAAGCAGGTGATGTGCCAGGTAGGGTAGCTGATAGTTGAGTGGGCACAGAGAATCTGAGGAAACTCCCTGGTGTTTCAGGTCAGACTTGTGCTAGGTGACTCTGTAAGTGAGATAGCTTATAGCCAAGCAGGCTGAATGGGTATAGAATTCCTATTGGGAGTTCCATGTTGGACTGGCTGTGGTACCAGGTGGGGAGGGGGCAGCAGAGGGATGGAGTGTAGAGTGTATAGAACTGGGATAGTAGGCTGGGCTTAGAGGTCCTAACTGAAGTTCAATGTTAGAGTCCATGCTATATTTATGGGGGCAGGACCAAAATGGGTACCTGGCTACTGGGAAGGCAAGCTGAATTGGTGTGGGAAACATCCCTGGGGGGTTGTTCATCCAATCCCATGTGGTTTGGAAGTGGCATGTTGTGTGGCGTGGCTGATGAGCAGTAGCTGAGGCAGAAGGGAACTGGGGGACTTAGGGGAGTTCCAGGGTATACTCCATGCTTTGTGAGAGGTGGAGTGTAAGTGGAGAGTACTGCTCACAGGCTGGTAGATGGGCTGAATGTGTCTCTGGGATCTCCCTGTAGTTCCTGGTGTACTTCACATTATATGTGTGCAGAGAATGCAGTGGGTAAATGACATAGGGACAGAATGAGTCTCAGGGAACTTCTTGCCGTTCTAAGACACATTCTATTCTCTGTGGTAGCAATATAGTAAATAGAGTGATTAATAGGCTCATGGGCATCAGAATGGATCCAGGGACCTATTTGGAGTTCTGGTTCAGAATCCATGTTGTGTGGTTAGTTGCACAGTAGTTAGAGTGTCTGATAGGCAGGTTGAAGGCATTGTGAGGACTTTGTAGAGTTCCTTGTCAGGTTCCACACTTGGATCCAGGCTGAGTGGCAGGTAGAGTAACTGATAGATAGACCAACAGAGTGAGTGTAAAACACCCACCTTGTGTTCCAGGAAGGACTTTCTGTGGTGCCGGGCACTTCATTGGGCAGGGTATCAATAGGAAGGTGGACAGGTAGAATGAGTCTGGAGGACCTGGTTGTAGAGTTGGATTCCAAGGCTCGAAGTGGGTAGGGAAACTGATTGGTGAGCTGGTTCAAGGGATCTAGATCCTTCTTTCTTTGCAGAATAACTGTATTCCAACAAATACCCAAAAAGGTATCTAAAACACAGACAAAACATTTTAACTTTATCTTACCAACAACAGTTTGTTATGGGCTTTAAGTCCTATGATAACAGGCACTTAAAAACAGCTGAAAACTCTCATCCATCTCTGTAGTAGGCCTGTAGAGGAAACCAAAAACAAGATCAAAATCTCTCTCTGCCTTCATTGTACATGTCTGCCTCTTTCCTTTGAGTCACCTGGTTATGTCTGCGGGGAAGCATATTAGTCACTCAGGAAAACACAGAGCTAAGTCATTATAGTCCAGGAACATCACTCCCAAGATAGAGGCCATTATCCATGAAGGCAGCCTGTACTAAAGAGAAAGAGGAATCCTCTCCTATGAGCCAGCCTAGCCATTCAAGCAATAGGAACATCTCTGAACCATCTTGTAAAACTAGGACTGAGAGAGTGCTACCAAGTCTGCCCTGTCATTCTTCTTGTTGTCTTCTCATTATTTTCTACCTAAGTGTAAACTTCGTGTCAGTATCCAAAAAGGTGAACCCAGGGCCCATTAGGACCCACTATCTGTTTCTATAACACAACTATATAGATCAAACCCCTCTCTCTAAGCCTTGCCATTACAGTCTCTTCAATTGGCATAATTGGGACAAATGACCAAGCTTTGTCTGTTGAGGCTACTGGAGCTGGGAGCTTTCTGTCTTAAAATCCCCATTATACAGTGAATTAAGAGGAGTTTCAGTTAATTTATTCTTCCAATTTATATCAGTGTTCAATTGTCTCATCAACTGACTCAGTATCACATGAATAATATGCTAATATCAGTACATACATAAATATAGGACAAAGACCCTAGCTGTGAAGGTCACCTGGGTAGGGACAAAATTCTTTTGAGAGATGTTGCAAATACAAATGTTAAAATAGCAACTAGTCATACTCAAAAGCCCTATTTCATATGGTCTTTCTCCTTCTCTTCTACAAGCTTACGGTGTTCTAGGAACTTCATTGATAGGAAGAGGTGTGTCTAGATCCCCTTGTGTAAGTCCTATAAGTTAGCCACCATTTGCCTTATCAGATTGCAAACCCAGATATCCATGGAGCCACCCTGTACACCCCCCAAAAAAAGGGCAACAGGGATTGAGAGGACACATCTTTGCTAACTTTTGAGGTACAGCTTGAGCTATTGTTAACATGTATATCACACCATCTCTTGAGATGCTCGCACCCATACTTGGATGAGTCTTATTCTTCTTCACAAGTGTTTGTCTTTCTAGTAACCCCCATGCTGGACTCTATGATAAAAATCCTCTCCTAACAAATTCTAACTCTGCCGTGCATTGGCTCATCTGAAATTATTTTCTGCCATAAGATCAAGAATCCCTTTTTCACCTAAGTAGAGGTCTCAAAAAGACTACCTAGGCTGCTACAAGTGACATTGTGGGTCTGGTCTCTGATCTTCCACCTTCACTGTACCTTCAATGTTAACTCACTGGCAAAGATTAAAAGTATTTGTAATGCATAGAGCTAAGCATATTGAGATGTTTACTAAATTATAATATGACAAGAACCTATACAGACAAAAATTGAAATTACAAAAAGTGTTGTATGATAAGTTGGTATGTGAATTTGATAACTATACTTTAAGTGTGAATATTTTAAAATTTAGACTTAAGTGTAAAATATTTTATAGGTAAAATTACAATAATAATTATAATTATTTTAATTATTTGATGTTTAACAATTACATTTATTATTTTATATCTTTAATATTGCTTTATATATTTATATTTGTTTTATGTCTATTATTAAATAAAATATTTAACAGTTATAAATATAAGATATGATTATTTTAAAATATTTTTAAATATTTAAATGTTTTAAATACTTGAATAGTTTTTTATATTTTGTAAAATAAGCTAATTGAAAACATTTTGAGCCAGATGTGGTAGCACAGATCTATAGCAGGATATTTATTCTGCTACATTGTATTCACAGTGGAGCTGGTGATTAGGCCTTAGAAGAGGAATTGGAGCTGGAAGAAGAAGAGAGCAAGGGGAGGGGAGTAAAGAGGAAGGGGAAGGGAGAAAGAGAGGAAGGGCAGCAGAGGAAGGAGGCTATCAGCCATGGAGAACTACAGATGGGTCAAAAGCTGTCCTGGGTAGCAACTTCTATCAAAAGGTTAGATATTGGGTAACAACTCTAATTGTGTGGGCATTTTGTTGATTGAGCATTTCTAAATATATAAATCCTTTAGATAATCATTAAGCTTTAAGAGTCTCATTTCTACAGGGTACTGTGAGAATGGCAGATATTGTCTGGAGTTCAGCCGAGCTTTGTGGATGCTGCATGGTAGATTGGCAAAGCCATGGCCCATGCTGACGTCTTGTGGGTATCAGGGCCTCCGCATCTAGCTAGCTGGAGCCCTGGTCAGAGCCGAGGAGAAGCGGGAACATGGTGGCTGCCCAGGAACAAGCCAGACCGGGTGCAGTTTTCTAAATATCACCCCTACACAAATCTGTAATGCCAACACGTGTGAACTGGAGGCAGGAGGATCCATAGTCCAAAGTCATTATCACCCACATCGAAAGTCCAAGGTCATCATTCTAGACTCCAAGAGACTTTTTCTTGGGTGGAAAAACAAGATCATAATTAAATAGAAATAATGTCTATTTCCATCACATGAAAACATTTGCCTGAGCTGGGCGGTGGTGGTGCAGGCCTTTAATCCCAGCACTTGGGAGGCAGAGGCAGGTGGATTTCTGAGTTCGAGGCCAGCCTGGTCTACAGAGTGAGTTCCGGGACAGCCAGGGCTACATAGAGAAACTCTGTCTCGAAAAAAAAAAAAAAGAAAAGAAAAGAAAGAAAGAAAGAAAAAAAAAACATTTGCCTGGCTGCTTTCTACCACATATATCAAACGTTTTGTAGTGAGAATATGTAGCAGAGAGGCAGTATCTTTATCGTCTTTATTTTTGCTTTCTAGGTGGTTTGAGGGCTTTAATTGGGAAGGCTTAAGAAAAGGCACCTTGACACCTCCCATAATTCCGAGTGTAAGTAGACTTTTCGGCTTATGAATGGTGTGCTCGCGATGGTACTTTTTAACCAACAAAGATCTGTTATTTTTAGAATTTTATGATCAGATGTCAAAATCTATGAAGCACCATATTATAATGATGACATATTCTAAAATCCAAACGTAATAAGTCTAGGGCTGGTTATTATACATGTAATCTACCTTTATCTTTTTAAATTCTTCATTGGAATTCAGATTCACTTTATTCATACATACATGTCAGCTTTTGTTATGGTACATGTTAAAAATGAGCATCTGGAATTGCTTCCAGTTTCATTTGCACGTCCTCACCTACCCCAGCATGACTGTGAAGCCATGTGTCCTTTCCTCCTGTAAGGAGGTTCTCTTTTCCTAACACAGTTTATTTGGCAGGGGGTGGGCAGGCATGCTGCTAAAGAGCTACATCACATGGACTGTGCATATCAAATTAACCTCAAACAGACTTCAACTGAATGAAGTTGTTTCTTTCACCTGAACCTACCCTGTCTAACGCACCCCGCTCCATTTAGTAAGTGGAAAAGGGCGTGCTTTGCGGCTCTGTAAATTTTGTTTATATGCTTTGACTCTCTCAGATTAATTCAAGATTCTTTGTAGACAGAAACATTTTCCTTTCTTCCAAGATTTATTTCTCTGCTGATTGGTTTTCATTCAGGAAACAAAATAAAAATACCACACTCATGTCTCACAGCATAGATCCCAGCTACACTCATGGGATTTTGTCTTCGGTGTAACGGTAGAAGTCCCAAATATTTGATGTAAAATTTTCTCACCTAAATTTATCTGGGATCACTTTTATACAGTAGGAATATTACATGGGTTTTGGTTGATGTTCTGGAGATTGGACTTAATCAGTCAATATGTAAGAATTGTACTCAAGTTTAGAATAAACCTCTAAACTTCCATTATACTTAGAATAAACATGTTTCTCAGAATTCTTTCATTATACTTTTTAAAATACACATACAAATTTTATGATATGCCTGCTTCTCTGGCTTTCTGCTGTTCCAGTCTCCTCTTGTATGGGGCCATCATGTTGGCTAGTCCATTAGCTCTAGAACATAGAACTCTTTTAGGACCTTAGTGTGTTCTACACACTGTTTATTTAAAAATGATTCTTAAGTTAAAATAATACTTTTGTAAATAGATTTTCTATGATCATTCAAATTTTTATAGTACCTTGTAGTTTTCCTCAGAATACTATGATTTTGTAATTCCTTACAGGTTTCTGTGATTATTTTGTTTTATGTACACAATTATTAATGACAGTCTAATTTCCCTTGGGTGTAAGAAGAATGCCTGTTTCCAGTTCCTCAGTTATGCAAAATTTAAAGCAAAACATTCATCCAGTAATACATATTCAAAACTGGTTTCTGAATGGAAAAGGGGGGGGAATGCCATTAAAAATTCGAGCTCAGTGTCGGGTGTGGTGGCACATGCCTTTAAACCCCAGCACTCACACCATTAATTCCAATACTTGGGAGGCAGAAACAGGTGGGTCTTTGTGAGTCCAAGGCCAGCCTGCTTTACATATTGAGTTCCAGGCAAGCTGAGGCTACATAGTGAGATCCTGTCTCAATACAACAGCACCACAATTCTAGTCCAATGTAAGAAGAAAATTTGTACATTTGCAAGATAAAAATACTACCTTTCCATAAACAGTTTGAAAATCTGGCATTTGTAACAACATAAGTGGGAAGGGAAATCACTTTCTTAATTCAGGCACAGAAAGAGTACACAGTTACCCCTATGTGCAATCTAAAGGCAAGTTCCCCTTACAATGTAGAAATTAGATGTTGCTTACCAAAGGCTGACAAAAATAATGCCAGAAGAGTGGGGAAAGGGTAACTGATGTATAGCTAAATATTACTGAATGTATACATCTATCAGGTTACCCATCGATGTGTACAGATTTTGCTTTTATGTACCTGTTTTAAAATAAAGAACTATCCTTTTAAATAATGGAAAATAAAAATCTGTAGGTCACAATTCTACCAAAATCACCAAAAGCCTCTTGTCCCTTCTGTCACCTTACAGGTTGCATCACCCACAGACACAAGCAATTTTGACAGTTTCCCTGAGGACAGCGATGAGCCACCACCTGATGACAACTCAGGATGGGACATAGACTTCTAATGTATTTCTCTTACCTGCTTCTGCCTTGCTGAAGACAGCTTTTTTTCTGAGACACAGCTGCCAGCAAACCTGAGGGAAAGAGAGAAGATTAGTGCTCGGGGTCACCATGATGCCTTTGATCGATGCTGCTCCAGTAACTACAGTGGCATTAGGACTTATTGCTTAGATTACGATAGTGCTCTTTACCTGTTTTATGTTTGAACCTAAAATAGCAGTTGACATGGTGGTCCTGAAGCAAAGCCTTTCACCAGTAAAGTGATGTTTTCTATTGTTGCGATAACCTTGCTTTGCTCTGATTATATTTTGAAAGAGTGTAGGAAACACTTCAATCTAGTAGAAGAGTCTGTATCTTGCTAGAACTACCAAGAAGAATAGAGAATAATATATTTGGTACGATAGATGACTGTGGTACGGAACCTGGGCTACATTCCCTTTCATCAAGAGAAAGGACATGGAGCCTGTGACTGAAAAACCAACCGGTATATATATCGTACAATGAGGACCATACATCTGTGGGTCACAGAGTTCATGTCAAACCAGTGCTAGATGTTTCTGAGTTTCTTTCCGAGCTGATGACGAGACTGAATGTTACCTTTTCTTTCTGATTGATTCTAAACATTGGCCCTGATTTATAAAGCACAACTGTATGGTTTCTGTACAAGCTGCCCATGGCAGGTACATAGTATGTTTTTGGAGGATGGAAAATGTGCATGAAAACTGAGAAATTGACATGACAATATGGAAGTGAGGAAAGGAATTCACAACACCATTTCATATCTTTTTAAAAAACATATTGTGCTTAAAGATGGTCCTGGAAATGACTAGCAGCCAATTGGTTTTATTTATTACCTAACACCCTCAAACTGAGGCTTACACTATTCCCTTTTATAAGAATAAACCCCTGGGGGAAGGGGTGGGGTAGGGTGGGGAGGAATTAAGACCCATCCAAAAATAAAAATGAAAAGGTGCTATGTCTTTTTTTCATCTGTAACGTCAGTGTCTGAATAGACGACACAGATTCTAATCATCATGTCTAGCCAGAGACTCAAGCATTTTCACCAACTTTATTAAAAATAGACTCCTGTCAGACATCACAACACAGTCCAGGTCTCAGAGAGAAAGGATATTAAAAATGTATTTAAACTAGTCTCTTGTCTTAGGCCTGAACCAAAACAAAATACATATGTCCAGACTGAAAGCACGAGGTTAAGACTTACTGTACTAAGGAGCTTTTTTGACTTGAGGTCATGGAGGAAGACAAAACCAGGAGTTGAGGACTGTTCCCTAGATAGGTTTATCTGAGTAAGAAGGGGTAAGGAAGGAAAACAGGAAACTGATTTCTCAAAACTACATTTTAGCTGAATCTAACAGAGGTATTACAATCTTGAAATTTCACATGACCTAGAGAAGATAAAATTTGAAAATATTAAATGGACTGTCCTTTTCACATGAGGAAAAGAATCATCAAATTAAAAAGAATGTGTTGTTGGCAGGCCAGTTGACCACTATTATTAAGTGGCAGAACTTTCCAGAGGTTTCCCTGGGCAGGTGATATTTTACTTGTATGGACAAATGAACAATTGTCCAAGATGTCATCCTGATTTGGATATGTGTGTTAATAGAGGTTTGCTATTTTTCCAGTAGGGTTTTTTTATGTAGAAATTCTGATTAAAAAAAATGTTTCCATTAGATTTATAGCCAATAAATAACATGACTTTTGTTTCAAATTTCATCCTTAAAACTAATTCCAACTATACTTATCCTATCAAAATATAATACTCTAAAAACATTTGAGGCCTAAAGCTGCTGAGTGTATATTTAATTGGGATAAAGTTCAGTTAAAACTTTGATCCTGATTTATTATTATTATTATTGTCTATTGGAATCCTCTCCTTCATGAGCAATTCTCAAGATTTCTAGATTTCCCAAGAGATCTATAAATTTCAACAGACTATATAATATTAGATTAAACACATCAAGCTAAAATTCAGTGGTTTCTGGAGGTTTATTTCTCTTTTAACTGGCTTTAAAAACATAATTCCATCTTATAATGAGTGTTCAATAATTTTTGTTCCAAGATAGTATGGTTTAGGTATGCTAAAGGCTTGTGATGGCGTTATATTTGCCTTGTTGTTAGCAAAGGGAATCTGTCTCTCTAATTTTTCAAACATTCACAGATCCCCAGGAATTAGCACAGACCATGTATTTAAGAACTAGGGTTCAAGGCTAAGACATCTTGTGTGTCTATGTGTTCTATGAAGAAGAAAGTTGTTGCTTTAAGTACACGACTATAGGTTATTTTCCACTTGTGGTACATCTTTTTTCATTTCATCCACAGTATTGGTTAGAATGCCCAACACAATCACAAGAAATAAAGGTGAACTCTACCTTCTAAGAATTGCTAACAGAAAACATTCATCAGATTTTCAACACTGAATTTTAAGGATTTAAATCTTGTCTTAACGAAGACACTAGGGCTATAATTCATGGTCAGCTTCATAAACCACGTCTTACTTTCTGGACTTTTCCATGCCCCCTCATTTTCTGGATTGTTTTGTTTTGTTGCACTAAAGACCATCTGGATAAATTAGAATAGTGCCAACTTGTTTGAGTTGCTTACTGATTTTCTTGTTGATAGTTTTGTGTGTGGGAAATAGGGCTTCCTGTGTGTCCGAAATCACAGAAAAACAGCAAACTGCCGAGAAAGGACATCACAATGTTTAAATAGATCAAACACATTAGAAAACATGAGTTTTGGAAAATTGTTATAGTTGATTTTTATACTTGTAATCATCTTTGTTTTTTGGATGTAAACGAGATCCATGTAGCATTTAAAACAAATTTATTACAATCCTCATTAGTCATAGAGATTTTTTCCTTAAAATTAGGGAACATACATGTGAATTACACATGTAGAATAATATCTAAACTGTTGAATCGTCCTCATTTCATTTCCAAATGACAAGCTTGATGGCGAACCTAAAGAAGTCAGCTATCATATTGAACACAAGGGTTGTAAAACCGACTTTATACAACAGAGGCAATTTGTGCATTATCCACCATATTTTCTTTCACAATAGGACCACAACAAATATTTATGTAAATAGATATTTTTGTGTGATATTTTGTGGTACATATAATTTTTTTAGTGTTTCACAGCATTATGATTTATTTTATTTGTATTAAATAATGTTTTAGGTCCAAGTAGACTTGAATGGACGTTACAATTGTTAGTATTATTGAAACTTATGTCAAAAGTACTGTCATTCATCTGTCCCATAGTTTAGAACATGACCTGGCTATCTGGCGTTGTTGCAAGTGCCTTAAACTCATGGCATCTTATTAAGAAAACAAATTTGGTGTTATGCTGCATGACAAAGACAAACACACCTCAAAATGTTGTCCTTTCTTAGCTTGCTGCGTTTTACAGTTCTTTCTGCTAACAATTTATAAGCCTTTATTATATAATATTGATGAATTACAGAAATGATGAAGTTGTTATCTTATTTCTGTTCAATGTACCAGAGCTGTGTGTCTGTTCATGAGATACAGCGTCATTTCTGTGAAATGTATAAATGTATGTGCAGGTCAAATTACTATATGACATACTATCAGTCTGTATACAGGTATTCCTGTTTTGCTAAAGCTGTGCAGACTCAACAAATTGAAAAAAAAAAAGTAGTGCAGTCAAATCCTAACGTATCTCATTTTATAGATTCCATTAACAATGGTCAAACCCAAAGGAAAAATTGGAAATGACTGCTCATCACACCTCGTTAGGAAACCAATAATGAAAACGTACCTTGGTGCACCCCTCAACAAAACAGGATGCTCTCTCTGAGTTCTCATATATGCAAATCATATATGAGGCGAGTTTTCAGGAGACTTTGAAAGCAAACCGTTTGAAGTATGTTGTTAGCCCTCCTCCTTCTCTGGCCCTGCAACAACAGACAGAGCTCTGGGACCTTGGCTATGACGCAGAGATTTGGGCTTTCTACGTAAAAGGGATATTTCTTTAAGTATCATTTATCAAGTTTATTTCAACGTATGATGTTTTTACAACTGGTCAGTTCTTTTGTATTCTTACAGCTATGGTTATTTGATTGTCCTCTTACAATTTGTTCTACATGAACGAGTCTTTTGTTAGAATGCAACAAACTGTCATCTATTGGTCATTGGCCACTTGCACTCTTTTGATGTAGATTTAAAACTTTTTCATAACTTAACCTGCTTTGATTTGCTCTGTATTTTCCCTGCAGCTGTAATTGCAGAGTGCCTGTTGGATACTTTATAGAGTTGAAATAAAAAAAAATTACTTTTGAACTTATTTGTCTTTGATTCCAGATGAGTCAAATAATAGAATGAGTGTGGTACCATACTGCACTTGAGATGGCCCATAGTCACTAACTAGTACATAACACCTGCAAACCAAGCGTCTTTCATGAGATAGTATAATAGAAAGATAAGTCAATGGTTCTTTTTTTTCTCAATAAAGATAATATCAGAAGACCATGCAGCATGAAGAGCAAGATTTCCATACCAAACAGGGAATGTTTCATATGTAAAGCACTTTCCTGTGTCTTTGCTTCCTGGATCCTTCCACTGAGCTTCAGATACAAAAAGAACATAGGATGGTGAGGACAACACAGATGTAAAAACCTCAGTCATCTTAAATGATAATAAGCATCTTCCACCTCCTCCCTCTGCTCCTCATTGCAGGAAATGACTAACTTATTAAAGCTAGTATGTGGGTTCCCTCAAATCAACTACTTTTATCTCACTGACATGCTTTGATTGCTAGTGACAATGAAACCTCGATATCCTATCCAGTTACTTTCTCAGTCAGACAGTCAAAAACTTAGAAGAAAATACCATTTTAGTATACTAATTCAATCATTTTATTTCTTAAATGTGTCCTATCCTGATTAGTTACTGTTCTTATTATTGTAACCAGTACCTGAGAGAGAGAACATATAGGAAATACCTAATCTTTAACGTTGATGTCTCCAAGAGATCAAGCGGGGAGGCATGATGGAGCAGCACAGTCTCCATAAGGACAAATGGAAAACAGAGTAAAGAGAATAGCTGAAGGGG